CAGGAGTCAGGGGTCTCGAAGAAGAATCGGAAGCGAAAGCGAGGAGCTGACAGTGGCGCGGGGAGCAAGACGGAGGTCGGGACACTCGCACCACAACCTGTACGCACGTTAGTGTCAGGAGGCGACAAGGAAGGCCAGTGGGCGGATGTGGAGATGGCGGACGCCGAACCACAGACAGATGCGACCGGGGACGAGGATGAAAATGACGATGCGGAAGAGGAGATGGGTGGCGGAGAACTAGAGAAGTTGCGCAAGCGAGAGCATGGTTGCCGATCAGAAGGCGAGGAAGATGCGCCGCCCGGCGCGGAGGAACAGCGCAAGAGGTGGTGGCATACTTACAAGTACCGGCCGATACTGGGTATTGCGCCACTGGAAAGCGTGGGCGTGGGCGGAAAAGGCAGGATGAATGGCGTCAACGGCAGTAGCAAGATGGCGGCCCGAGAGATACGGAAGATCGAGGTTGCCCTAGTCGAGCGGCCAAAGGAGGACGTTGCTATGCCGGAGCGCTATGTGGAAGATTAGTTGCAGACAGAGTAATGATACACACCAAGTCCAGACTACCTATTGGCAGGCAGGAGGTTGACTTATGAGAGGCCATCCCACAGGAGGTTATTCTACTGACGTTTGGCATACACTCTATCAGAGGTTATCCTATATAGAGGTCTAGCCATACATTTCATAGGAGGCCATCCTACAGAGGCTGAGAGGGTTATCCAACGGGAGATACGCTATAGGAGGTGAAGGAAAAGAGTTTGTGCTTGCAGAGGCAAATCCGTGTTTTTGCGCAGGGAGCAATTTTGAACAGTCCTATCCTAGTCCAAGGTACACTGTATCCATGATGAGCATTGTTTTTCACGCCTCCAAATCAAGATGGGCGCTCCTCTCTCTACGACGTGTCTCAAAGAACACCTCTTCTGGGAAGAAACAAAAGTCGCTCAAGTAAATTGACCTGGGCCTTTGGTCAAGAAATTTAAAGTCGTAGTTGAGCACTATGTGAGCGAAAAGTAGTTTGAGCTCATGAGTAGAGAAAAAGCGGCCAGGACTAAAATGCGATAGCAAAGTCAGCCAATTTCTTGAAAAGGAGGGCAATAGTACAATGGATATAGCTCCAGATGCGGAAGATGGCGTCAAGCAAGCGGTATCGACTCACCATGCGTGTCTGCCGTGGCCGAATGCCAGAAACGTGTCCGTGGTATTCGCCATGCCGAGCTCAGCCCTCCCGACGAAGCGGTCGTGGTGAAAGACAGCAGGGTCACTGTAGAAATCTGGATCCATGTGGATCTCAGTGGTGGGCATGCCGACTTTTGTGCCCTCGGGAAGAAGTGTGCCGTCAGGCAGGACCACATCCCTCACCACTTGCCTCTCGACACCCCGGGCCTTGAAGGCGCTGAAACGAAGGGACTCGCGCAGCGTGCTGTCCATCAGGACAAGCTTGCCGACGGCCGCCTTGTCCCAGGTCCCGCGCGCGCCGCGCAGGACAGAAGCGGCCTCGCGGCGAAGCGCGGCGAATACCTCCGGCCCGGCGCTTAGGATGTTGACGAGGGCACCTATGGCGGCCGCGCTGCTGGTGTGAATGCCGACGAAGTTGAGCGCCAGGATGCGCGCGCACAGGGAGCGCGGGTCGTGGTCCAGTGGATCCTCGCTCTTGGCTGCGAAGCGCGCCATCAGCTGTAGCATGTCCGGGTTGCGCTGCTCGTGGTGTGCGTACTTTGATGCCGACGCATCGTCCAGGTGTTTTTGTATCAGCGGCACGAGATACCGCGAGCAGCGGTAGTCATAATAGCGGGCTGGCAGGGCGGCGATGGGCCCGAGGACCGGCTTGAGCATGGCGGGGATGAGATAGGCAATTGCGGCGGCACACTGCCCTATTTTGTTGACAAAGTTGATCGAGTAGTAAAAATAGTCGAGGTCGTGGGCGACGTCCTTGCCCACGAAGACCCTGTTTGTGATGCGGGTCAGGATGGTGGACATGGATGCCAGCACGCCAACACTTCTCCATTCGCCAGGCGCGCTGCCGAACCACTCGTCGACGGACTCTGATATCTCTTCAATCATGGCGGCAGTCATGAGACTCAAATTCATCTTGTTCAGGGCCTCAACGTGGAACGGCCGCACAAACTTCCAGCTTCGCGGAGACGTATATTCGAACTCGACATCGGCGAGAAGCACCTTGTGAATTGATAGGGTGGAATCGGGTTGTGCAAGTAACCATGACATGTACGAGGGTGGCAGCATAACCTCGGCTTTGAAAGTCAGATTCGGCGTGATGTACGGCTTCCCGTGCTTGCCATACTATGTGATTTCGTTTAGTATGGTTATATATAAATCATGGAAGAGGAGAGCGAAAAATAAATGTTCACCCTTTGGTAGCCCGATTCAATATTGAGTTTGGAGTCAAACAGCTCCCGAAAATTTGCTCGATACTTTGAAAACCACTCGTTGCGTAGACCAACCCATGGTACTCCCTCTGGGGTGACGCGGAGCCTGGTAGCTCGAAGGTGAAGTAGGTAGATGATGATAGGGAGTACTGCAATAAAATATACCTTAAATCCCATCACAACGTTATAAAATTTCTGAAATGGTCCTGTGTCTGGTAGAAAATAGATCTCAGACGTGGTAGGCATGGCGGATACTGCTTATAATAAATGTGACAGACGGGGCATGCTAAAATGTCATACTTAGAGTCAATGAGAAACTTCTAAGTACTGTAAAGAACAATAGTAAGGAAACAATATGAAGTGAAGTCCCCAACGAGGCGACAAAGAAATGACCGACGCATCGAGACACGCCAAAACCTCGGGATAACTTTGAGGCTAATGAGCTTATAAAAAGGTATTCAGAAGAAATAACTCTTCTCTGAAGTTTGTACGAGATGTTGAATCATAAAATTTGAGCCATTGCATCACATCAGCTTCTGCCTAATTGATGGGTCCAAGTTCCTGTCACCTCACACGGAGTACTTGAGGGGTGTATTACTGTGTGAACGGCAGGTTTTCTAATAGAGCTACATGGATACCAAGCGGTCTAAGACATTCTCATTCATTGTCGAGTAGGAGTTTAGAATGTTTGCCATTACTGACGCAGCAGACTGACGCAGCAGTCTGACATGAGGGGATCAAGAACAAAATTTACTGCCTCTGGTGATCACACAAATCGGCAAAACAGTGGGAAATCTCTGTCACAGACAGAACGATAGGTTCAATAAACAGATATTTCTGGGTCTTTCTATGGGGCATGGCGTGGCCACGAGCATAGAACTCGACAAAGTCGACCTTGCTGCCTGGAGGTGAGGTTTACTACTGGGCGAGTCAACTGGTATAAGTGGTTTCGTTTTTAATCCGTATACATATGCTTCTTAAGCAGTATAAAGCTATTATTAGCTTTATGTATAAGCTCAGGGCTGCTGAAGAGTGGTCGGAAGGCTGGGTAGATAGCAGACAAACTAATAAACAGTTGATAAAAAAAAACATAGTGTGGCCTAAGCCCAACTGGTATAAGTGACCAACATTGAAATTTCTCAGATGCGAGCTGTGTCACATTGTGGGAACTCTTTCATCTTCAATCCCAGAAGTCTTCCTGGGCATAATCTATCAATTGTCTATTTTATTCACAAAGGTAGCAAAAGTTGGCCCCTCTGAGTCCCCGAGTCACCACTAGGAAGTTAAAGGGCCAAGCCCTCCTTTTCCTTACATCCCCGGCTTCTCTATCAAGATCCGCCCCTACACAGCACCCTCTGAGGCTGAGAGGCAGACACAAATATATGCCGAAAAGTCTCTCAAAGCCAAATATCCCCCAGGCATGCACAAAATGCCAGCCATCGAATACTGTCGCCAAGCCGTACTTTCAGTGGGAGACAGAACAAACCACTGAGACAAGTCACCAAGTGAAGGAACGCACCCTGCATTTGGACTCGATTGTGAATCGCCCGGCCAGCGACATCTGGTGGAATATGATGCAGTGCCATATAGATAATGATACAAAGTCGAGAGGCACAGCCAAGATCTACGACCCGGTTTATTCCAGCGATGTGGTGTTCGCCCACATATGCGCCAACAAACACATTAATAACGAGGCAGAGGCTGATACTAGGATCAGGGAAGCGGGTATCTCAGGCAAAGTAACACCAGTATTCTTGGGAGCTTGGGTCATGGAAGTTCCCGTGCCGTCCAAAGACTTTGGTGGTGCGGGTTACGCGACTACCAGGTCAGCCCCGGGGTCCCGCTGCTTCTATTCGGAGACGTCGAGGCAACAAACCTTGCGAGTACGTATTTGTAATACTACTACACCAGCGGCTATGTGGAGCCTCAACCGCAAATCCCTCAGGCTTGGAGAAGAGAGGTCCTAGCCAAGATCTATGAAGCCGTGGCTTTCCTTGGTCACGCAGGAATCCGCGTCGACGTCGGACCGGACGGTATCTTCGTTAGGACTTTCGGGTTGGAAGATGGGAGACTAGATGTAAGAGTGTTCGTCGCAGATATCTCCAAAGCTAGAAAGCACACGGCAGAAATACCGGAGCGACCCGTGTCGCCTATCGAGAATTTCTGGGACGACGTGATGTATGATGTGAAGTGGCTTGCTTGAGACCAGTGGAGGGAAGACGAAGAATTGAAAGATCACCGGCAGTGGCTTGTGCAAAGATGGGGAGATTCGACTGAATATCGGCCGCTGCCTGAGGATCTGCGAAAGCGAATCGCCTCTGGTAAATGGGAAGAAGTGTCAAAATAGGTAGTAGGGCCCCTGAAAGCCGGTACTGGGCGGCCATCCTGAAATGATTATGGGTGTCTACTTAATACATCCATGGCCCTTTTCAAGCTAGATCCTGAAATAGAAGATTCCCCACCCTCCAGCGATCAAACATGGCCAAGGAAACGATAAAGCGGTGGAGAACTGAAGTTAGCTTGGGGGGGGGGTTAGACCGGAGGAGGAGAATTCTAGACTCTTCCCAAAAGGGGCTGGCTTGTTGTCAGATATATATTACCTTAATTTAGGTGGTCGGCAGGGTCATGATAGTTTAGTGGTAGAATCCAGGCTTCCCATGCCTGGGGCAGGGGTTCGATTCCCCTTCATGACAGTACTTCTGATGTCTTTTTTTTTTTATTTTTTTTTTTTTTTAAAAAAACTGTTCTTCAGTCATCACTTTTTTCCCAGTTTGATGCCAGGAATTATGATCTCTCTCAACTACTTGTGCAGCTTGTAATTATATGACGGGTTTCCCGTAGGGCATGTAGCTAGGTCTATGACCACAACGGTAACCTTACACTTTACACAGTGGGAGTATATCCGTATCGATGGACGTATACTCCGAACATTTGAGTTCAGTTAATACATATTGTAACAGCTCGTACTGACAGACGCCAAAGAGAGAGAAAGGACAACTGTGGTGGAGCATAGTTTCTGGAGACTGTGCTCTAGCCGGACCTCAGCTTACCTTAATGGCAGACATATCTAGATTCCACCCAACCTACCACCATTGAACACCAGTCGTAAACCTCACCACGAAATAAAGCCTCTTAGGCAATTTTTCTTTCTTTGATCGAACAGCGGGTGGCCGAGGGCAGCAGGACCGTGAGATAGGCTTTCAGTACGACATGCAATGTCTACAAATGCGGAACAATTGTAAACCGGTGTATAGAACACCCGCGAGTCTCATTGTGTAATGTAGTAACATACACGCTAGTTACTTGAACCTCGTCTCAGAACGATCGCATCAAACTTTATTCGACACCCATGTGTTCTCAGCCTCATTCCATCATTCATGATTCAGTGCCGCTTTGCCGCCATTCGTGCTGTTGGCTGATGAACTCAATTCGGACTCAGGCAGTCCCTTCCGGATAGGAGCACTCTGGAATTATTTAAAAGTAAGCAAATCAACCTTCCTCAGAGAGGTGTCATCTACCGAGGCTGGGCTACTCACAATGGCGTAACACCTTCATGGCGATCAAAAGAGCCAGGTGTCGAGGCTTAATTGTCTTTAGGCATCTGATGACTCCATCGGAAGCCCAGATCTCATACTTGTCGATTGGATAGCCACACTTCTTAAGCCAGCCCAGACAGGCTTGCATATTCTCGCGAAAACGCTTTCCAGTTGCTTCGGAAATCCCCTGTTCTAGCATTTCGACCCTAAACTGCCATGCCCCGTAGTCCTGCTTTTTACAGACTGTTTAAGGTGCGGGTTCGTCAAGTTCAGCGGCATCGCTATCGGAGGAAAGGTCTTTCTTTGGATAAATTCGACTCCATCTGATTACAGGACGTTTGGTTTATGGAGAAGGATGGAAGCACGTCGATGGAAGCCGTGGACGTGGAGGAATGATCGTTGGGCGCGCTACCTTGACAGAATGAATTTAGGTAGTGTCTGTATCTCAAGCTGTCAGGTGCAGAGGGAGAGAGAAAGAAAGAAAGAGAAAGAGATTGAATGACATGAGGACAGGATGGCCTTTTACCAGGCGGCTGCCTGGCGGGCCGGGGCCTTGACAACAGCGTGTTGGGATATTCGTGCCTAAGAATGCTGTGGGTCTTAGGTTGCAGACGGACAATGTAGATGATTTATTCAGACTTGTTCCTTTTCAGAGCTTGGTCTACGCCGGTACTAGGTCGGCTGTAGGTTTTGACTTCTATTTTCGTGCAAGCAGGTATGTGTTCTGGGCAGCCCTTGGCGTAGGAAGAAACCTTCCGCATTTTATAAACAAGGCTTTTCTCAACTTCCAATTTTCTAAACTTCATAATCTTGGGAAAACATAAATACAGCTCACCGTATCTCAACTATTATCGTATCCGTTTACTGGGATACCATTCGTCAACTATGAAGGCCCTAGGACAGCGCAGGTAAAGTGAAGGTTGCAGCTCATACACTTTCTTCATTAACCCCGATGCGAAGACTGACTCCGTGGCGCTCAATTTTCGTGACAGGATTCAGTGGTTATGGTATAATTTATTCTCCTCATCGCTTCCGGGCGTGAGCGTTCATCCTTCAGAGTTGGTGTCCTACCTCCGACATCCAGGACACGCGTATCGTAGCTCTGTCTGGGATTGAGAACACTTGAGTATTCAATTTTGAACAGACAGCTGTACGTGGCAAGTGCAGAGCTCCGAAACTGCCTGATGTCATACTTTTTTAATGAGACGACCAATGTGCCATCCCGCCTTCGTACTGACTGAAAACCGTAGACGAACTTCGACACATCAGAAGTGCGGCGGCATCGTGCAGCATTATCAGACGAAAGCTGGGAGTTAGGACGATGACCTTGGTGTACCTAAAACATATGTTCCATGATTTCTCATTTCATACTAACTGAGATGTTGAGCTTGATCAGCTCTACGAATTGTTGCAGAAGATGCGTAAACAGAGATCGTTACGTTGAATATTGGACGCAATAGAATCAGTGTTCTCTCAATTTGACTTTGTAGAGGACACGAAGTTGAGCAGTATAGTCTGTTCTTTCACTTATCCATAATAGCAACCAGCGATAGAGAGCGCCATTCTGAGACACATAGCAGAGGAATTGGAGCAATAAGGACCAAGGAAAAACGCATCATGGCAATATGTTTGTTCTCAACGAACAAATTTTGGGGCCCATCCCACCCTGAACACACCTCATCAGACCTTATCAGACTTGAGCTCCCATCCAATCCCTGGACTGGGTCACTATAGAGGCAAGATCAACAAATCGATGGAAGTCTGCTACCATTATTTCAGTGACCTACCTAGTAATTAGTACTGGCCCGGCACAGTACGTCACTATACTCGCCTAGACAGATATACCGGCACACCACCAACACTCTTGGAATCATCCTCCTGAAAATGCGTCACACAGAACGCTGTTGCACAACTTGTATGCTTTGTCTAAGCAAGACCATATCAGTCTGCAGGAGCAGCCTGCCTCCCCACCGGCCGGGCCATTGTACTGGAGGGCCACAAACAACCGCACTTGGCGGATCTCTCTCGGCAAGCTATTCATCCGCAGTTGACGCAAGCTCGAGCTCAACAGGAGGCGTGAGCTTGTGTCTTCCTCAGCGCTGTGCCGAAGTGGGCAACTCACCATCAGCCCTCATGCTAAGCAACGGCCTATCGACCTCCCGGCCTGCCCACCTACGTTTAGGCCAGACCGAGCCAAGAACATCGTGCATGCGTCTCCGGCCAAAAGAAAAAGGCCCATAATTTCCTGGTGGTCAGCACGCGCGTCTCACTTGTCCTGGTGGCAAAGCATCGTCGTCAGCTAAAACATAATTGCCCCGCCGCCGACATGACGCTGTCGTGGGACTGACACGCTTGCGTCCCGCGTGGCTTCGAAGGATTCACTTTATTTCTACCCAAAAGTGCTCTGTGATCTCCAAGTACTTTCATGGTGGTGTTTCTGCTACTGTGGTGGTGTAGGATAAATCACTCATGTGGACGTATAGTTGTCAATTACGTAGGTCAAGCATCAATCACGCGTTCGATACCTATGTATGAGAAGTGCCCGCCTACGAAGACGCCGAAACTGTCCCAGCCTGAGTCCCCCACAGTCCCGGACTGCCTTTATTCGCGTTCAACTACTCATAGGCAATGTCTGGAATTGATCACGACCGAGGCTGGACCGAGTTGCACTCGCATAGCCGACGCAAGGCAGCTATGTCGGAAAACGTGAAAGTCAAAAGACTATTGCACTGCCTAAATGCACAAAATATAGCGCCAAGTGCAAACGGTGACTATCAAAACTCCTGTGAATGTGGCAGCGGTCCTGAGTCGAGGTGATCAAAAGCCTTTTGGAACGTTACGCGTCGTGATGTTTAGAGGTTTTAGATATGACGGTAAGAAAGTATAATTGTGATGATCCGTTGGCCCGCTCACGGGCATTTCCGTGAGCCTAGGAGAACAGGGTATTACTATCAGACTTCTGTGCACGGCTTGTGCTGACTTAGACTTAACCGAACTAGACTCACTTTTCCTTGGGCCGTTTAGTTTCACTCAGCTTTGCATGTCCGCACACACGGCTCGCATAACTGCCAACGCGCCAATGGATTATGCTGGGCAGCAACCATTTGCCATGACTTACACGCTTCTGGCAGTGCACGGTTGTGGTATCACAAATTCTGCCCACGAGATTGACTGGGGCCAAAACATTTACCCTGGCTCGTTTCCATCCGACAGTCACGGTCCGAGTTGCAGAGGCCCCCGTTTCATCCCACCCCGGCTGGACATCAGACAGGCAAGTGTACGTACATGAGGAAGAGAGCGAATACGCCAGCCAAGGCAACTCTTCCCGAGTCAGCAAAAACCAGGTCAAGTCACGACGCACGCCCACATGCCGCGGCGCGTGGCTGCACGGTAGCGTCAGCAAGGCAGCAGAGTGTTCTCCATTTGTACGCACATGTGGCACCACATGCACACAGACTATTGACGGTGAGGATTGCCCGCGGGGTTGTTTCTTTCTTGGCGACCTACGAGGCCAGCGACGTCGGTGGTGACGTCCCACTCCCAAGGTGCGCCGAGCGACTGGGGGCCCACGCCAGAAGGCTCGTGGATACACTGTCTCCATGGCGATTGTGAGCCAGCTCATCTCCTTTCTCCTTCCTTGTCTAGCCTTGTGGCATGACAGCCTTGATGGACCTGGATCCCGCGGCCTGCACACGCGGGACAAGAAGGGCATCATTGACGATAGATCCGGCCTCACACTTCTGCTCAGGAAAGCCATGAGAAATTAGACGCCCGCGCGGTGCCTAGCTTCCAGGATCAGCCCTGGTGGCCCCAGGACTTTGAGTTATCCCGTTGTGGGGACATTCGCTTACATGGGACGGTTGTGGGAGGAGAGACGCGCGTCAACCACGCTGCCCTGAGATGAGGGACCCGGTAACGTGGGCAGCCGTGCCGTCACTAGGCAGGCGATCAAGTTTTGATGCACGGCAGGGCGAAAATCTTTGCGGTATTTTGATGATTGGGTGGGCCATGATTGTCTAATACACACGTGGCTTGCCGGTCCTTTGTGGTCCTGTCGAGGAGCAGTTGACTCCCGGTTTGAAGTAATGTGTAATCTTGTGACCAAGAGTCCAACGTTGTGACCTTCTGTGTGACCTTCTGCGGATCAGAATAAAATC